GGGTAGATTACTTGGCGTTTTGAAGAGCGACGGTCTACGTCTACACTGAAAGGTGACCCATTCAAGGACGTGGCGTACCCGCATCACGTTTGAGCACCGCTATTCCCGAAACCCAAGCAAAGACGGCTACTGCACACCTCAACCAAGCCAAATCCTACGCGACTGCTAGCCAACATCGTGTCTCCATGCACTGACAACCACATTTCCTTGAACCGCGACAACGGATGTAGCGCCTTTACAAAATCCGCTTAAACGTCTTTCGCACGTGCTTTCCATGGTTCTCGCCTTGAAGGATCGAAGAGCGACTATCTTCTTAGGCTCTAACAGGCAAGGTTTTGGCTATAAAACAATCCCCACGTCCGTCTCCAACCGCATTTGCGAAGTAAAGGTGTCAGCAGGGCAAAGCAACGCGGTGCTGAGTTGGCTCGCCCCGATAAGGGGCGTAGTCTTAGCGTTCACTCAAAATTGTCCGGGCCGAGGCGTTATGTCCTTTTTGTACCGTGTGCATGTCCTATGTTGTATCCTTGTACATTTTACATGTACCTGCACCGAGGTCGCAGTCGGTCGGAGAAGGTGGCGTTGTATTTGTTGTTGTGTTATGAGTATAATGGCATGTCGAAAAAAGGGAGAGGCTCAGAGTTCAGAAGACGACCCACATGTCGTACATATCGGAGGAAACAAAGCGCTGTTGGAAAGTTTGTGTAGATGACTCGTAATCTACATAGCAATGCCATTGTATTGTTGTAAAGCAACATTTAGCCCATAAGCCAAGGTATTCTTGTTGTGCATCCCTCAAGGCTATTTTGCCTCTTGCAATCAACTAAACTGGTAAAGTGGATATATCGGTTAATATGTAGAAAGTTTAGATGTAGATCAAACAAACAGCTTAGGAAAGGCAGCCGCTGCCGCGGCGGCCGCAGTGCCACAAAGTGGTCATCGTCCCACACAGAATGTTGCGGCAGAAGCGGACTGTTCGGAAAGACTGCTTCAAGGCGTGCCGCCCGGTGGAGCGGCGAATCATTGCGTTACACAACCCATATGCCACCATTGTCGAGCTGCCCCGCGGCGGGCACCAGCAGCGGCGCGGTGGAATGATCAATGTGCCCGTTCGAATAGAAGAAGCCATTGGTGCACTGCTGCGGTCCATTGGTCACACAGGCACGCCCACGGACCGCACTGACGCATCTACGCAGAGCACTAACATGTAATACGCATCCCAACTGTACGACCTCCTTCCACTCCGCTCAAAACCAGCCGGCACAGATATGTCCTAGGCTATACTTGACAGCGATATTTGATTTTAAAAAGGGGGCGAGCCCCGGTGTCTGCGAAGCTGACGGGTTTGGGTTGTCTTATGCCCTAGATGAGGTTTGTCGAGATTTGCTGAGGGGCCCTTTTTTGGCTTCTACCCTCTTGTTTCCCTCCTGTGGTTTCTTTTAGGGCTATGTATCCCATCTTGTTGGCCCGTTGTGGTGCTGTCTCTCCGGTTCGTTCCGTTTCTTTTGCAATGTAGGGTTGGGTTCATCACCCGTGTTCCCTTTTAGGGCACCATTGTAACGGTCATTCATTCATGAAAGCTCTCACCGCAACGCAGTGATGCTAAATAGCTTTTTCTTGCACAAACGAGGAGATGTAATGAGCGATAAAGGAAACACGGAAGGCGGGCGTTTTGCTGTTTGCACTACCTTTGTCGTATAAGCCCAGCATGGCCCTGGATCCATGGCCCTGACGGCCGGGCGGGCATCATAGGACCGTCAACCAGCTCGCAGTATGCAAGGTACAGCACTATGCCGGTTAAGAAGACGGCAGACGGGTCATGGACTGAGCGGCGCTACTGCCTTGATGCAAGAGCCTTAAACGCTGCCACCACTCCTGACCTCTACCGGCCCCCTAACCCATAAGAGCTGCTTGAACGCATAGGGCCTGCGCGCTGGTTCACAAAGTGTGATTGCCGTGCCGCATTCAATCTGATCCCCTTACGCCAAGAAGATAGGCAGAAGACCTCCTTTTGGTGGCGCAACTCGTTGTGGCAGTACATTAGGACATTGTACGGCTTGCGCAATGCCACAGCCCAATGCCACAGTGCATGATGGACACGGAGATCCGCAAGGCGGGCCTCGGGCACTGCTGTGTTGCTTTCATGGATGATCTGTTGATCTTCTCAAACTCCGCAGACGAACACATTCAGCATGTACGGCTGGTGCTGGAGATGCTGAAGCGCATTAACGTGCGGCTGCACCTGGACAAGACCGTCTTCGCAGCGGATTCGGTGGAGTTCCTTGGCCACATGGTGAGTGCGGACGGGTTGCGACCTATGCAAGCGAAAATAGCAGCGATACAAGCGCTTAAGTCGCCCACGAATGCGACCGAGCTGTTGAGCGTGTTAGGGCTTTGCAACTACTACCGGTGCTACCTACCCCGGTACAGTGAGTTGGCAACACCGCTCACCAGGCTCACGACCAAGTCCACCGTGTGGAACAGTGAAACCTGGAAACCAGAACACCAGGCGGCATTTGACGACCTCAAGCGCCACTTTGCAGAACCAGGCCTGCTCTTGCGTAGGATGGACCCCACGCGCCCATGCATCTTGCACAATGACTTCAGCACATTAGGGGTTAGTGCCGTCTTAGGGCAGCTAGATGACGATGGAAATGAGTATATGGTGGCATGCGCCTCCCGCTCGCTGAACGAGCACGAACGCAACTACACGTCGTACAAGGGGGAAATGCTGGCAGCATGCTGGGGCATGAAGATCATGCGCCCATACCTCCTTGAAGCCTCCTTCGACCTAGTAACTGACCATGCGCCTATGCTATGGCTCATGGAAAACAAGGCCCTGACAGGAAAGTACGCGCGTTGGGCACTCACCATGCAGGAGTACACCTTTGACATAGCTCACAGACCGGGAAAGCTGCACGACAATGCAGACGCGCTGAGCCGCAGCCCGTTGCCAACCACTGAGGATGGAACGGGTGCCCGCATGGATGACGACACAGATCCCGTGCACCAGCCGCCAAAATTAGTACCCCACCCAGCTAGAGTAACAGCAGGAGCACCGCTAGTTACCGGGTCGGTGTCCATGCTGCAGACGGTCACGGATGTCATAGCCCTGAAGTCGCGAATGCAGCTGGATAAGCACCACGCCGTGATGGCCGCAGCTGCTGAGGAAAACACAATCGCCTCGGTGCTGGCGCCCACGGCAACCGACCTGCTGTCCGGAGGCAACGGAGTCGCCTCTGACAGCGCTGAACAACCGGCGGTAGATGGACTCACCAAGGCGCAGGAGCGCACTGGTGCGTTGAAGCGGGGGGCTCACATCCTCACAAACTGGCTAGAGAACAACGTCATGCTCTTCAGGGGATCGCAGCACATGCGCCAAGACCAACAGTGATGAGGACCCAAGAAGAACCAGGAGACACGGTCTCGCTGAACACCACTCTAGTGTCCCATCACTTCTTAGACCGTGCGCACACCGAAGGCCTAGTCGTACTGGAGTACGGCGGGGGCCATGCCGCGGGGCTGGATGGCGTGTACGTCGCTATCTCGTGCACGGCCACACACCCGACCAGCAACTCATTTTTAGGCACCGCTTAGCCTTACTACGTGCTGAGTACCAAGAACATCTGATGTCAAGAGCCATTAATCGCGTGTTCCATTGGCCACCCTCTGCACGGCTGGGAGAGTGCAGAGGGCTGGGGCTGCACGCCCTTCCTTGGCGTTCATGTTACCCGTCCAGGTGCCGTCTCCAGTGTCTGTAACCATAGCTGTCCAGTGTCCCACCCCCCTCCGCCCCCCCCCCTAGCAACCTATGAAGCCACACCATACAGCTCTTGAGATTTTTTCTTTTTAAACCCCCCCCCATAGAGTCTCCGAATGCGCTCATCGCATGAGTCGGGATATGGGATTGGGACTCGTTGCTGCACTTATCATTTATTCCCCCACCACCACCACCTGCGCTGTGCTCGAGAGGCCGTGCAAGCCACGAGGCCCCCCTTGCCCCCGAAACGGTGCCCTTCCAAGGAGTGCAAGTCCCCCAGCTAGCCTTTACTTGGCCCCCGTGCCGTGGGCTCGCAAAGCTGACAAGGCATGCGCAAGCGCCCCTCTTTTTCCCGTCGTCATCATCGACTGCCATGTACTATGCGCCCTTACGTTGGCTCGCCCCGATTAGGGGCGTAGTCTTAGCGTTCACGAAAAATTGTCCGGGCCGAGGCGTTATGTCCTTTTTGTACCGTGAACATGTCCTATGGTGTATCCCTGTACATTCTACATGTACCTGCACCGAGGTCGCAGATTCGGTCGGACAAGGTTGCAATGTATGTGTTATTGTGTTTTGAACAGAACGGTATGTTAAGAAAGTGAGAGCGTTCACAGGCCCCACGCCCGCGGGATCGGGTGACTTTTGCGGAAAAGTCAGCCGTAAAAGTCATCTACAAACGCGGTGACTTTTACCCTTAGTAGCTTAACAGTAGATTGCTAGATATAGGCTAATAGTTGACTTCTAGGCTGCTTACTTCGCAGCTCCTGAGCTAACACGTTACTTTTTTTTCTGCATGCGAAGCCACCCACCACCACAGCAACCTGCAAACATCCAGCCTTACTCACCTTTAAGCTTTTACACGCTCATCGACCACTACATATGGCAGGTGTCGATAGGAAAGCGCAGGCTAGCCCCGGGGTCCTTCAGCGACTAAATGCCCACGTCCAAAGGATAGGTCATGTAACCTAACAACTGTGAATCATACCGCGGGGCCATGGATGTTGGGGAGGCGGGAACGGGTGCTACTCTTATCTGTCCCCGTGCAACGCCTGCCTTCCCCTCGTGCAGCCCCTGTCTCCCTTGCCGCTTCCCCGCCAGTTCTGTGCCTACCACCGTCATGCCTTCTATGCGCGGCGTTTGCCTTCCCATGCGCTTCGCGGCCCCTGGTTGGGTTCCCAACTCCCTATGCCCTTCCCCGTACCGTGCCTGCCTCTCCATGACGTTGCCAGCCCGAGGCCTGCCTCCCGACGCCCGTTTATGTGCAGCACCTGCCCCTCCCTGCCCTTCCCTGTGCGGCGCTTGCGTCCTTAGACCCGTCTCTGCACGGCCCCAGCCTACCTGTGTGCCTGCCCCTGCGCAATACCCGCGGGACATGGGGTGGACTTTATGTGAAGGATGTTCCAGACACCTTGGTGAGAAAATAACCTTACCTAGCGCCTCAAAACGGTAGAGCCGTGCTATTGACAAATTTTTAAGCGAAAATACCTCCCCGTTAAAAAGTTAGCTGTGCCTATCTAATCCTTATCCTAAGGTTCTAATGTAGAAACCTTAGAATCCTTAGTTTAGAAAATTTCCTTCTAAGGTTCCTGACCAACCCTACGCACTAACGACGACTCCAGCTTGCTACGGTTTTGCCCCAGCGCCTCCCAAATCGCTCTTTTCCTAAAGGAGCTGGCCATGTTCTTCTTCACTAACAACATCGCCCTTCATCTGATCGAGAACCCTCACCTCGTCCGCGCCTGTGCTGCTCTCGGGGTTACCCTGCCTAGCCGTAAGAAGCTCGCCACGCTGTACCTAGAGGAGGCATACAACTCCGTGAAGGCAGCAACCGTAGCGTGGTGTCGGTGCGCGGGCAACCTTGCCGTGCTGGCCACCGATGGCTGGCGCAGCCGCCTTGCTGCCAGCGGCACCCCTCTCTTAAACGTCATCAAGCTTCTCCCCACGCGTGCTATCTTCTGTAAAGTGATCCCAGCAAGCGGGGTCGTGAAAGACGCTGATTGGATCACTGAGACGCACATTCAGCTAGCGAACGATGTGTTTGATGGCCAGCCTGACAACTGGGTGGGGTTCTTGATGGACAACACGAAGGCGAACCGCAAGGCTATGGTCCAGCTGCGTCAGCACAATCCCAAGGTACGCAGGGTTGGGGTGCTCTTCCGCCGAATGTGATTGCCTCCTTCCTTGCTTTTCCCTAGGTAGATACAACCGCCTAGTTTGCATGGCCTTCATGGTTTTTCTTCCCCTTCCCCTCCTTTTCCTTCCCTATAGTGGCTCACTGCTGGCTGCAAGGCCCACGGCTACGCCCTGTCCTTTAAGGACATCGCCAACGCCGCCAAGTGCCGGTGGGGATCGAAGGTGGTAGACGCCATCCTGATGATCTCCAACACCATCAACAACAGTGAGCGGATCAAGTCAGCAGTACACGCCGCTCAGGTGACGGCCTACAGCAGCATTAGGGCGATTGCTGTTAACGCGCCTACCCGCTTCGCATGCCAGCTGTTCATTGCGAGGGACATTCACGCTTCTAAGGCAGCACTAAAGGCCACGGTCCTCAGCGAGGATTGGGCGGACGTCAGCAGCAGCAGCATCCACGGCAACAGGCTGCGTGACGCTATCCTAGGCAACGGGGAGTACAGCTCGTTTTGGCAGCGGCTTGACCGGTACTTGGAGCTGATGCAGCCTTTCAGCGACGCTATCCACCAGCTGGAGGCTGACAGGCCCATGCTCAGCCAGGTGTGAATGGAAAGGGTTGTTGGGTGGGACGGTGGGAACAATGGTTGCCCTGCTTATCCGCCTTCTAACCTGCCTACGGCTTAGCTAAATACCTTGCATTGGTGTCTGCAGGTTCACGACGTGCACCTGAAGCTGCACGAGCACACTGCAGCGTTTGAGAAGAAGTACCCGGAGTGCAAGGGCGTTGTGGCGCTGTACAACGACCGCTACAAGAGCACCATCTACGACGCTGCGACCCTAGCCGCCTTCTGCATCGACCCCATCAACTTCATCAGCAAGAAGGACGACGGGGGCGCCGTGGTTACGTGGCAGCTGCCAGCGCTGTCTAAGCTCGATTCTGAGGACCGGAAGGTGGTTCGGCGGCTTCTGGGAGAGGTTTACGGCGGCACAGATCCCGATAAGCAGGAGAAGGTGCACGACGAGTGGTCCGACCTGCTGAACGACGGCATTCCAGCTGACATCGCGGAGGAGGGGCTGTCGTCGTCTACCCGTCGCACCGAGAAGCGCGACAAGGACGGCAAGGTGGCGTCCGTTCAGCTGCCGCAGCTGTCTACCCGCATCAACTTCTGGAAAACCTGGATGGTGGAGCGGTTCCCGGCCCTGACGTACGTCGCAAGCCGCCTGCTGCTCATGCACGCGACCACTGGGGCTGCAGAGCGCAACTGGTCGCTATGGGGCAACGTATTCAGCAAGGCCCGCAACCGCTTGGGCCTGGAGCGCGCAGAGAAGCTGATCTTCATCCGCGGTAACAGCGATGACATGCAGCGCCGGGGGGCCCTTTACGATGAGGAGGTGGTGCTGCAGCTGCTGGCGGGCGACGACACGGCCTAAACTTTGGAGCTGCGCCGTTTCTGTAGTTCGTGCAGTGTGAATGGTTCTGTGTGATTGACTTCGGACGACTCTGGTCTTTTGGTTACGTGTTTGGGCGACCCTTAACAACTGGAAACGCACTTACGCGCAGTGTCGTGCATGGTACATTGTTATTATGATTACCTTAACATCGTCGTAGGTTCTTGCTGGTTATTTATGGTTCTTGGGGGTAAAGATGTGCCATGACCCGCGGGACATGGGGTGGACTTTATGTGAAGGATGTTCCAGACACCTTGGTGAGAAAATAACCTTACCTAGCGCCTCAAAACGGTAGAGCCGTGCTATTGACAAATTTTTAAGCGAAAATACCTCCCCGTTAAAAAGTTAGCTGTGCCTATCTAATCCTAATCCTAAGGTTCTAATGTAGAAACCTTAGAATCCTTAGTTTAGAAAATTTCCTTCTAAGGTTCCTGACCAACCCTACGCACTAACGACGACTCCAGCTTGCTACGGTTTTGCCCCAGCGCCTCCCAAATCGCTCTTTTCCTAAAGGAGCTGGCCATGTTCTTCTTCACTAACAACATCGCCCTTCATCTGATCGAGAACCCTCACCTCGTCCGCGCCTGTGCTGCTCTCGGGGTTACCCTGCCTAGCCGTAAGAAGCTCGCCACGCTGTACCTAGAGGAGGCATACAACTCCGTGAAGGCAGCAACCGTAGCGTGGTGTCGGTGCGCGGGCAACCTTGCCGTGCTGGCCACCGATGGCTGGCGCAGCCGCCTTGCTGCCAGCGGCACCCCTCTCTTAAACGTCATCAAGCTTCTCCCCACGCGTGCTATCTTCTGTAAAGTGATCCCAGCAAGCGGGGTCGTGAAAGACGCTGATTGGATCACTGAGACGCACATTCAGCTAGCGAACGATGTGTTTGATGGCCAGCCTGACAACTGGGTGGGGTTCTTGATGGACAACACGAAGGCGAACCGCAAGGCTATGGTCCAGCTGCGTCAGCACAATCCCAAGGTACGCAGGGTTGGGGTGCTCTTCCGCCGAATGTGATTGCCTCCTTCCTTGCTTTTCCCTAGGTAGATACAACCGCCTAGTTTGCATGGCCTTCATGGTTTTTCTTCCCCTTCCCCTCCTTTTCCTTCCCTATAGTGGCTCACTGCTGGCTGCAAGGCCCACGGCTACGCCCTGTCCTTTAAGGACATCGCCAACGCCGCCAAGTGCCGGTGGGGATCGAAGGTGGTAGACGCCATCCTGATGATCTCCAACACCATCAACAACAGTGAGCGGATCAAGTCAGCAGTACACGCCGCTCAGGTGACGGCCTACAGCAGCATTAGGGCGATTGCTGTTAACGCGCCTACCCGCTTCGCATGCCAGCTGTTCATTGCGAGGGACATTCACGCTTCTAAGGCAGCACTAAAGGCCACGGTCCTCAGCGAGGATTGGGCGGACGTCAGCAGCAGCAGCATCCACGGCAACAGGCTGCGTGACGCTATCCTAGGCAACGGGGAGTACAGCTCGTTTTGGCAGCGGCTTGACCGGTACTTGGAGCTGATGCAGCCTTTCAGCGACGCTATCCACCAGCTGGAGGCTGACAGGCCCATGCTCAGCCAGGTGTGAATGGAAAGGGTTGTTGGGTGGGACGGTGGGAACAATGGTTGCCCTGCTTATCCGCCTTCTAACCTGCCTACGGCTTAGCTAAATACCTTGCATTGGTGTCTGCAGGTTCACGACGTGCACCTGAAGCTGCACGAGCACACTGCAGCGTTTGAGAAGAAGTACCCGGAGTGCAAGGGCGTTGTGGCGCTGTACAACGACCGCTACAAGAGCACCATCTACGACGCTGCGACCCTAGCCGCCTTCTGCATCGACCCCATCAACTTCATCAGCAAGAAGGACGACGGGGGCGCCGTGGTTACGTGGCAGCTGCCAGCGCTGTCTAAGCTCGATTCTGAGGACCGGAAGGTGGTTCGGCGGCTTCTGGGAGAGGTTTACGGCGGCACAGATCCCGATAAGCAGGAGAAGGTGCACGACGAGTGGTCCGACCTGCTGAACGACGGCATTCCAGCTGACATCGCGGAGGAGGGGCTGTCGTCGTCTACCCGTCGCACCGAGAAGCGCGACAAGGACGGCAAGGTGGCGTCCGTTCAGCTGCCGCAGCTGTCTACCCGCATCAACTTCTGGAAAACCTGGATGGTGGAGCGGTTCCCGGCCCTGACGTACGTCGCAAGCCGCCTGCTGCTCATGCACGCGACCACTGGGGCTGCAGAGCGCAACTGGTCGCTATGGGGCAACGTATTCAGCAAGGCCCGCAACCGCTTGGGCCTGGAGCGCGCAGAGAAGCTGATCTTCATCCGCGGTAACAGCGATGACATGCAGCGCCGGGGGGCCCTTTACGATGAGGAGGTGGTGCTGCAGCTGCTGGCGGGCGACGACACGGCCTAAACTTTGGAGCTGCGCCGTTTCTGTAGTTCGTGCAGTGTGAATGGTTCTGTGTGATTGACTTCGGACGACTCTGGTCTTTTGGTTACGTGTTTGGGCGACCCTTAACAACTGGAAACGCACTTACGCGCAGTGTCGTGCATGGTACATTGTTATTATGATTACCTTAACATCGTCGTAGGTTCTTGCTGGTTATTTATGGTTCTTGGGGGTAAAGATGTGCCATGACCCGCGGGACATGGGGTGGACTTTATGTGAAGGATGTTCCAGACACCTTGGTGAGAAAATAACCTTACCTAGCGCCTCAAAACGGTAGAGCCGTGCTATTGACAAATTTTTAAGCGAAAATACCTCCCCGTTAAAAAGTTAGCTGTGCCTATCTAATCCTAATCCTAAGGTTCTAATGTAGAAACCTTAGAATCCTTAGTTTAGAAAATTTCCTTCTAAGGTTCCTGACCAACCCTACGCACTAACGACGACTCCAGCTTGCTACGGTTTTGCCCCAGCGCCTCCCAAATCGCTCTTTTCCTAAAGGAGCTGGCCATGTTCTTCTTCACTAACAACATCGCCCTTCATCTGATCGAGAACCCTCACCTCGTCCGCGCCTGTGCTGCTCTCGGGGTTACCCTGCCTAGCCGTAAGAAGCTCGCCACGCTGTACCTAGAGGAGGCATACAACTCCGTGAAGGCAGCAACCGTAGCGTGGTGTCGGTGCGCGGGCAACCTTGCCGTGCTGGCCACCGATGGCTGGCGCAGCCGCCTTGCTGCCAGCGGCACCCCTCTCTTAAACGTCATCAAGCTTCTCCCCACGCGTGCTATCTTCTGTAAAGTGATCCCAGCAAGCGGGGTCGTGAAAGACGCTGATTGGATCACTGAGACGCACATTCAGCTAGCGAACGATGTGTTTGATGGCCAGCCTGACAACTGGGTGGGGTTCTTGATGGACAACACGAAGGCGAACCGCAAGGCTATGGTCCAGCCGCGTCAGCACAATCCCAAGGTACGCAGGGTTGGGTTGCTCTTCCGCCGAATGTGATTGCCTCCTTCCTTGCTTTTCCCTAGGTAGATACAACCGCCTAGTTTGCATGGCCTTCATGGTTTTTCTTCCCCTTCCCCTCCTTTTCCTTCCCTATAGTGGCTCACTGCTGGCTGCAAGGCCCACGGCTACGCCCTGTCCTTTAAGGACATCGCCAACGCCGCCAAGTGCCGGTGGGGATCGAAGGTGGTAGACGCCATCCTGATGATCTCCAACACCATCAACAACAGTGAGCGGATCAAGTCAGCAGTACACGCCGCTCAGGTGACGGCCTACAGCAGCATTAGGGCGATTGCTGTTAACGCGCCTACCCGCTTCGCATGCCAGCTGTTCATTGCGAGGGACATTCACGCTTCTAAGGCAGCACTACAGGCCACGGTCCTCAGCGAGGATTGGGCGGACGTCAGCAGCAGCAGCATCCACGGCAACAGGCTGCGTGACGCTATCCTAGGCAACGGGGAGTACAGCTCGTTTTGGCAGCGGCTTGACCGGTACTTGGAGCTGATGCAGCCTTTCAGCGACGCTATCCACCAGCTGGAGGCTGACAGGCCCATGCTCAGCCAGGTGTGAATGGAAAGGGTTGTTGGGTGGGACGGTGGGAACAATGGTTGCCCTGCTTATCCGCCTTCTAACCTGCCTACGGCTTAGCTAAATACCTTGCATTGGTGTCTGCAGGTTCACGACGTGCACCTGAAGCTGCACGAGCACACTGCAGCGTTTGAGAAGAAGTACCCGGAGTGCAAGGGCGTTGTGGCGCTGTACAACGACCGCTACAAGAGCACCATCTACGACGCTGCGACCCTAGCCGCCTTCTGCATCGACCCCATCAACTTCATCAGCAAGAAGGACGACGGGGGCGCCGTGGTTACGTGGCAGCTGCCAGCGCTGTCTAAGCTCGATTCTGAGGACCGGAAGGTGGTTCGGCGGCTTCTGGGAGAGGTTTACGGCGGCACAGATCCCGATAAGCAGGAGAAGGTGCACGACGAGTGGTCCGACCTGCTGAACGACGGCATTCCAGCTGACATCGCGGAGGAGGGGCTGTCGTCGTCTACCCGTCGCACCGAGAAGCGCGACAAGGACGGCAAGGTGGCGTCCGTTCAGCTGCCGCAGCTGTCTACCCGCATCAACTTCTGGAAAACCTGGATGGTGGAGCGGTTCCCGGCCCTGACGTACGTCGCAAGCCGCCTGCTGCTCATGCACGCGACCACTGGGGCTGCAGAGCGCAACTGGTCGCTATGGGGCAACGTATTCAGCAAGGCCCGCAACCGCTTGGGCCTGGAGCGCGCAGAGAAGCTGATCTTCATCCGCGGTAACAGCGATGACATGCAGCGCCGGGGGGCCCTTTACGATGAGGAGGTGGTGCTGCAGCTGCTGGCGGGCGACGACACGGCCTAAACTTTGGAGCTGCGCCGTTTCTGTAGTTCGTGCAGTGTGAATGGTTCTGTGTGATTGACTTCGGACGACTCTGGTCTTTTGGTTACGTGTTTGGGCGACCCTTAACAACTGGAAACGCACTTACGCGCAGTGTCGTGCATGGTACATTGTTATTATGATTACCTTAACATCGTCGTAGGTTCTTGCTGGTTATTTATGGTTCTTGGGGGTAAAGATGTGCCATGACCCGCGGGACATGGGGTGGACTTTATGTGAAGGATGTTCCAGACACCTTGGTGAGAAAATAACCTTACCTAGCGCCTCAAAACGGTAGAGCCGTGCTATTGACAAATTTTTAAGCGAAAATACCTCCCCGTTAAAAAGTTAGCTGTGCCTATCTAATCCTAATCCTAAGGTTCTAATGTAGAAACCTTAGAATCCTTAGTTTAGAAAATTTCCTTCTAAGGTTCCTGACCAACCCTAGTTATGTACAACTCGGACCACCCTGGGTCCTACCCTGGGCCGCGTCGATACCCACACCTTCTGCCCCATGCAGAAGCACCGCAACAAATTTCCGCACCGGAACAATACACTCATCCTTGTCCTGAAGAGTACTTCCTGAATGTGCGCTTACCAAGATTCCGGGAAACCCCTGCCCTGCAGGCTCTTGCCCTACCCGTGAGCTTACAACCGTGAGTGGAAACTAATCACGACGAGTTGCAGACACCCATGCCAATTGCTTCTTTTGCTGCATGAGAATAAATGCCCTTGCTGTGCGGCTTATGCTGGTGCCTTCACACGGTTAAGGGCGGGATGACTAACAGAGGCTGGGCAGTAACAACAGGCACACGGGCAGCCGCCGAGGCAGCAGCCACAGGGGTAGCACCCGTAGCAGCATCAATCACTGCGGGAGGGGCAGGCACCAGAGATGCAGGCACAGGGGCAGGAGCAGTGACCAAGGGATCGGCTGGGGCATCGGCCGAGAACACACCAGAGAAGCAGGAGCCGTTGCATGCACCAGCAACAGCAGCACAGGTTGCAGCAGCGATACACTGGAGAAGCCGAAGCACAGGCTGGGGCAGGCACCGCAGCGGCATGACCCGCATAATGCAGAGACTGCATGCAAGGCCTCCAAACGCAAGTCGACAGCTTTCATCAGCCACTGGGACAGGGGCCAAGGTGCAGGGGCGGTTGAGGATGCCACGGAAGGTTCAGATACCATAATGCCATCGCTTATGCACGGGTATGTGGGAGTATCCAGTAGCGTCCAAGGTAATGGTGTTGAGAGACACCGTTTCAGCATAGGAAACAGTTCGCGGGCTGCATACCCACTCAGCGAAACACTCAACGCTGCTGGCCCACTGTGGCCGACCAGCTACCGGCCTACCTGGACGCCTGTATGTTCGTCAGGCCAGCGGGCACAAGGACCCCATCAACCTTGCATGCGCCTGTTCAGCTGGCCGTGCGCTCCTGGTCCCCAAGCCATCCCACTCAGCCACTCATGGCCAGCACTGAAGGGCGAGAACCGTAGGCTCTCACCCTAATAAGCTAACCGGTAGGCTTCTTACCCTAATAAGCTAACCGGTAGGCTTCTTACCCTCATAGCAGTGAGCAGGCACTAGCGTAGCTGCAGGGACCACGTTATCTCCCATGCTAACGCTGTGGCGTACGTGTATACCGGTTGCCAGTTGCTGCCCACGCGACGCTCGATACCTTACATTGCCATAGCAATGTAACTGCACCAATTACGGTTTCACATCTTACTCCGTCGCAAATGTTAGCTAGCAGAGGAAGGCTCGTCGGTGAATGCGGTGCACAGGCGAGGAAGCCAGGGGGCGCATAACATGCTGTGCTATCCGTCTATTGAATAGTGGTTGATGTACATTGCTGATTGCTGCTGTCAGACTGCATTATATGCGTTGAGTAGAGAAAGGAAGCATATCGTAGGCAAGGAAGGCAGCAATGCTGAATACGAAATTGAAGATTGGGAAAAAGCTTAGGGGCCATTCACATTGAGGCTGAAATATCTTCAAGGAAAGGCCTGTCACAGCACATGCTTGGGAGCACAGCACGCTGTCGTCGGGCCCTGTGCGAACTCAGACTCCCGTCGCCGGTAGGGGCGCTGTACCGGTTCTCGGACTTGCTGTGCGCTTGTTGGGCCCATCGCAGCTATCAATTGAAAACGTTAAGTTACGGCGTGCCGTGCCGTGAAGTGGAAACACTTCAGTCCCAAGCCACCCGTCAGTTGCGGCATCTTCACATGCATTCCACATTGCTACATGGCCTCGTTGTAGGCATGCTTATCTAGTAAGCCCTGGTATGGTCTTTGGACAGCGTTTGTCACGATTTCCAGAAAGTAATCATACTAGCATAGAAGCTTTTGCTATCATGCGGCAATGGACTTATGTAGCCCTATTGATCACGTCGTTCCTCGCCTTCGTGTCTCCTGCGGACATCAGCGATGCTGCTCTAGACGGCTTTTCCAATGGCGGGACGCCCGCTAACTTTATGAGCAGCCTCGGCGTTCGTGCGGTGGCACCGATGTACGCCGTTATCCCTATGGAAGGCAAAAACCTCACGGTTTCGTTGACTCTTTGGCTTCGACGAGTAGGGGCTACTGGAAGTCCTTATGGCATGCCGCATCAATCCAAGGTAAGGGGCGCTCGCGGCTGCACTATTCCCAGAAATCCTCCCCTGCCGGTACGATTGCGTCCTTACTGTCTTGCAAGGACAGATGCGCTTTGCCTTGGCTCCTCTGGCAAGTGACTGCGAGCCATGTTGCACTTAAGTTCGGCCAAGCATGATGTTTCGAATCCTCCTACCGTTGTCCTGAATTCTTTTCGGGTGCAGCAATCGTCTTTATGTCTTGTAAGCCTGAGGATGGGCTCAGCTGTGTTAGTCGTGGTGGTAAAGTTGGTCAACCTCACACACACACACACACATCTTTTGGCAATCACAGTACGTTTCGCCTCGCGGCCAGTTATTTTAACACACACACACACACACACTACACACATGCACACGGACGGTGGTTTCGGCTTTTGTTCATGACCCATATGAAACAACAGAACGCTAAGTTAACTACAAATGTAAGCTTCCCAATACTACGCCCCTGTCCCTTTACTTCCCCACATTGAGCCCAGGACGCAATACGGATTTTAGTATGGGTAGACAATCCTGCCGACTTGCAGCTGCGGAAGTACGGCCACTTGTTGCTTCCAGCTGAGCAGGGCGTTTGGCAGCCGGAGCTGCTCCTTGAGACGGTTCAGCCAGGGCCAATCCTACCGGCAAAACTAGAATACGGAAAAAAGCAGATCAACGAGATAGGGGACCCACGCGTGCGGCCGTACACGTTTCGTGTGGAGCTGCCAGCGGGCGCAGGGAATTGTTTTAAGGTGAGCTTTGGTTGCGCAACTGGCACATGAGTATTGTAAGTGAAGGGGCCACCCTGCCTCATGCCACTGATGTATGCTTACACGCACACTTACACGGTCCGCACTATCACCTGCATTTCACTCCCCTTGGTAGTGTGCCCATGTCTTCCATGCATCGTCGCAAGAAGTCCAGGCTGGTCTGAAACATGCTGACATGGCCGGCTCTGTTGCTCTGCCTGCAACCCACATCAACCGCAGGTCATTGAAACGAGCTACCCCAAGCATAAGGCCCCTTTGTGCCTACCCCCAGCCGCGGGCGACGGCGTGTGTGCCACGCTAGCACCTGCCACTCAGTACACGGACATGGCGCCCGCGTTGTGGTTTGCTATCGGACCAACTCGGGACTTCAAATCCACTCGTGATTGGCGCGGATTCCAGATCAGCGTTGCGACACGGGTTTCGAGCTTCCTGTCGTACCACATTGCTATGAACACGACAGGCCTGCTGCTGTATGTGGACGAGCTCATGCGGCTGTACCTCATGAACATCCCAGATTTACGGCAGTACGTTGAGGCCGGCACGCTCAGGTGGGTGCATTAATGCAAATATGGTTACATGTGCGTTTCCGACAATGATGATGTTTGCGCATTCGTCATCGACGTTCCCCGGATAAAGCACACGCTAATGTTTCAATCGTAGGCTAATTGACTGGCTAATGAACGAGCGTGCGCACGATGATAATGACGGGCGAGGTCGGCCACTTGGGTAGGTGACAGGGTTGGGTACCTACCGTCGAATTCCTGGTAAAGGAATGTTGGGAAAAGAGTGCAGGGTTGCATATGGAGGGTGCGGAGTGGGCTTGCGGCACAGGTTTTCAATTGTTGCCACACAAGGTAGGCTACGGTCACGGTCAGAAATTACCGCGGCTCAGCTTACCTTCATATCCCAATAGCCATTCCATTGGAAAGGGAACGGTGGGAGGGGTCCAGTCCAAGCCATTCACCTGGCCCATCTCGTGTGGCAAGGTTATGAAGGTACATTGAGCCGGAATCACCCGTGTTCCCTTTTAGGGAACCATTGTAACGGTCATTCATTTAAATACTGGCCGTGGCCGCAGCAAAAGATATTAAAGAGGCCATGATGTAGCTGGATGACATGCTACTTGCACTCGTTTTTGCGCATTCTGGGTTAAATAGTCATTGTTGCATTTACGCTTTCGCCATACGGTTCAACAAAGCCGTAACCCAAACCAACGCCCACGCCCTGTAACATTGGCCCTGCCGCACGGGCCCCTGCCTGGCGCACGTTACGCTTCAGGTACAACTACGACCAAGCGCTCTTCGCTGGCCACGCCCTGCTGGGCCTCTCCGCATGCGGCGCCAACCTTATGCTGGTTATGACGGACCTTGATGAGTTCCTGTACACGCCTCAGCCGGGTATCCGCTGGCCGGAGCCGTACAAGAACTGCCTGTCACACATGAACACTGAAGGGAAGCTTCCCATCGCCCAGTTTAAACTCCAACGTGTTGAGGTTGTGTCGACCAAATGGCACCCAGTGAACGAGCACGAGCTGTGGTCTGATCCAGGACGGTCACTTCCTCGCTTTGTGAGCGCAGTCAGTGGCGGTGACAGCGGCGTCCCGACTGTCCTAAAGGGCACCCTCAGTCCACGGCATCCGTTGGCGGAATACGACTGGATATACAAGGAGCCACTGAGCTTGTTCCACACAAAGCCTGTGATTGTGCCCGCTGCAGAGCATGTATTGTTTTTCGTGCATGAGGGCGTTCCGGTGCACGGGCGGTCGCAGCTAGTCGACATTAGCTGCCTCACGATGCTGCATGTGGTAAATCAGTTCAAGAGTCGCCGCAACGATTCGGTTGATCACACGTATAAGCTTAGGGAATTCCGCCATTGGCTGTTTAGCGAGGACGGTGCCTCATTTAAGGGTGCGGGGCATTAACAAAGCCGCAAAGGTGGTAGGTTTGCTTGTTGGCTAAGATGACTTTAGATAGCGGTTTTCGCGGGGAGGGTGGGGGTAGGAAATGTAGAAGTTAACCCCATAACTTCGGCGAAGGAGCTTTGTGTGGTAGCTTTTAGGATTTGGTTTGGTGTTGTGCGGAAAACGTCATGGGCTTGCAAAGTTTGTTGAACGGCACGGTTGGGTGGGTCCGGAGTCTCATCGACATGTTTACATGGACCTTCGAGACCTTTTTCCAGGCCTCAGGTTAGATTTCGGAGCGCTTTATCCTAGTCCTTTGTTCATTTCTCGTTCGTAGTGCAGGGGGGGTAGGTTCGCCGCAAAATGACCCCTTGCTTCATTATAGGAGATCTCGATAGATATCCGCTTTCAAAAATTGTAAATGCAGTTTTATGAAATTATCATGAGCTCTTAAAGAAGGTTGTACGGCAGAAGTGGGTAGGTGGGTCTGGCCCCAACGACTCTTTTCTTTGACCTCCGAAACGTTTTTCCTAGGTATCAAGCCTCCCTTCGGCCGGGTAAGATGGTGAAGTCGGCTGGGCACGCTTAGCATACGGCAGTTTAGTGTGGTTGCGGAAGCAGGGCAGCGAAATGTACAGGATGAGTAGAAGAGAAGGCGCAATGGTGCTAAGCCGGTCTATGTGCAGGTAAGCCGAGTCTTAAAATATTATACGCTTACGCCTATGATCCAACCGCGGGCCAGGGTGGGACCGCAGGCCGGCCACACATGCGTACATGGCTGCCTGCGCGCATGGGTGCCGCATGGACGGGGACGCTGGGCGCACACTTGCACCCCGCATCAGCTGTATTACACCGCTTCGCCTGGGCAAGATATACTGTACCCTTCCCCGTGATGTTCCTGTGTTGCCTGAGCTCAAACGAGCAGGGCAGAAATACCTACTCCAATGTGCCAATTGAGAATGGCAACAAGCCGACGAGCTCCTGGTGAATGGAACCGAGCTAGTCAAGCCGAACTTGCCTGGATGTTAATAAATCTTACCAAATATGGATCTACCTAGCCATTAGTCGCCAGCTGTCTGGGATGCTGACAAAGATGGCCTGAAATCCCACCGCGTCATCGAACACAGACAAAAAACAAAGGACGCAAGCCACGCAACACGTAAGACAGATACCGATACAAAGGAGAAGTACCTGCGTGCACAGAGATACGGGGGACTCCCCTCCCCCAAGCATGTGCGGCAAACGTCACCCTTGAAATGGCACCAACCCAGACAGCAGCCCCTTCGTACCTAGACGTACGAGCCCCGCCAATGCATGCATCCCCACGCGCGGGCGCACAGCAGGCCATGAGATCGTTTCGGTCTGGTATCTCCACTGCATCGCCCCTGCTCTAACATGTATATCCACACATCTCCGTAACATGTATATCCACACATCTTGAACACATCTGGAGCACACCTGTTGAACACATTTGGAGCCCTTATTGCTCATCCCTGCCAGTTCATGTTACAGCAAGAAGGGCCGAAATGGCCAGCAGACATATCCCAGCCGCCCGTCCTGTTAAGGAAACGTCCATTCAAGTGTCCACAGCGAAACCCACCGCCCGTCGCCGCCCCAATGTTTATAGTGCACTAGTGGCCCGAAGTGCAGACGGTACTGCATTGTTGCACCACGAATAAGCCAACACAACCAGGGAAACTAGGCAAACCGAATAGGCACCCAAGCTTGAGTACCGACACCGAAATCATTCCATGGCATGCCACGTAAGGTAGTGGGAGGGTAGTAAGGGCCACGTCCCGGCAGTAGGACACGCCTCACCATCAGGATACCTACACAACGGCAGTTAAGGAATGCAAGCGGCTGCCGCCAGCAGCAAACAGAGCGGGACCACAGGACGACGAACCATGCAAGCAACCGACCCATGCGTCCTGCTGCGAACATTTCTAGCAAGTCCTTCGCAAAGTAGACCATCCTTGTCTCCATCTCGTCAGTAATCCCTCGAAAGGAAAGTGCTTGTACGTTTCTTTGTCCTCAGGTCACCATTGCTATAGCTAGACATGCCATCAACCCCCCATCCGGCACATTATAGTCCCCTTCAGTCTTCACCCATCCGGCACCGCCCAGCACCTCATAAACGACAGTACAAGCTATCAGGCCCAGTTCCCTCCCCAACGCCCACCACGTCACGCCTGCTCGTAGTGGTGCAAGCGGTAGAGCAGCGCGCGGCCCTTGGCGTTCCCCACCGCCAGCAGGCCGCAGTGCGGACTGAAGTCCAGCGAGTGCACGTAATGCAACGGCGAGCGGGCGGTTGGCCAGTTTGAGAACACCGTCAGCGAAGGCAGGTGCACCAGGCGCAGGGAGTTCTGCTTCATGCGGGAGGCCATGGCAAGCATCTGGGGAGGGGGCAGAAATCAAGGAAGGAGGCTCTTCGGGGAATTATGGCTAGATATTATTGGTTTACCTGCAACAGGGCGTGGCAGATAAAACGCATCACTAGACATGCCGGGTAATGGTTTGTTCATGCAGTCAGGAACAAACCATTACCCAGCTCCCACCGAGCTCCCTACGCCGGCCCTGCAAGCTCTTTAGCATATTCACACGGCTTCATCCCTGGCCCCCATTTCTCCCCTGGCACGCAAGATGCACCCTTCTTGGCCTGGCATCAGTCAACAATACTCTCGCCGCCCCGAGTCCCAGCACCCACCTGCGAGTCCGGGCTGAACGTGAGGGTATCCACATTGGTGGTCAGGTTCATCAGCTCCCTAGCAGGCGCCAGCGTCACTCTCCCCGGCCCCGCGCCCGCCACCGCCCCGCTGGTCGCCCGTGCCGCCGCCTCCTCCAGCTCCCCTCGCCGGTACACGTTGACGACACCCGAGCACGAGCCGGTGGCCACATAGCGGCCGTCAGGCGAGAGGGCCAGGCTGGAGGCGTCGCGGATGTTTCCCAAGTCGCTGAAGACCAGGCGGCAGCGGCCAGTGCGCAGGTCCCATACGTGTACAAGGGCGTCGTCGCCTAAGAAGCATGAAGGTGCGGGCAAGGATATGGCAGATGAAAAGCTCTTGTGAAGCGGGAAAGGTAAGGTGTCCGAGGCGCCGCATGAGCGCCGCGCCCGCCACAATAAAGCCCTATGTTATCAATATGCAGGCATACCCTGTTCGTATGTGTGGTTACACAAGCGCATGCCCGCCCACAAGTACCACGGACCTGTTGACCACAGCTCCGTGCCGTCGTGCGTGAACGCCAGCGCGCGCACGTTGCCACTCATCTTAAGGTTGCCCACCCACTGCCGGCTGCGCAGTGACAGCAGCGGCAGGAAGCCCGCGTCGCCTGCGAACGCCACTAGCGGCTCAGATGTAGGGGAGCACCTGCGAAAGAGAGGAGTGCAGCCACCCATGACTCATCTTGCGGATAAAGGGCATCGATGTTTCCGTTGGACACGATACGCGGCCGACCCCTCAAGACCCCTAACTCATCCCGTCATGCCCCAAAGCCTTCACCCGCCTCACCCCGGCGGCGCCACTGTGAAACTCTCAAGCGACCGCAGCCTTCCCGCCGCCGCACCCATCCCCGTGGGGCCCGGCACGCGCTCCACCCGCGCCGCGTCCATGTCGAACAGGTAGAGGAAGGGCCGCCGGCCCGCCAGCACCACCCGGTTCGCACCACTGCTAACTCCCGCTGCTGCCCCTCCTGAGGAGGCGAAGGCGGCGTCCGTGATGGGCAGGTCGTCCAGGTGCAGCCCCTGAAGTAGCTCATTGCGCACCCCGTCAACCTGGAACAGCCGCAGCGTCTTGTCTAGACCCGCAGTCAGGAACACCTGACGAAAGAGAAAAGATGAGGAATTAAAGAAAGGGAGGACGAGGAGACACACAAAAGGGCTCAAGTAATGATGCCTGTAAAAATAATGGACGCTGCTAGCAAAGGACATTCATATTCATAGTGATCATACAACAAACTGACTCCTTCCATGGCCTTCCCCGTCTGCCACCTGCCCTTTCCTTTCCTCCCATGCCCGGCCCTACCTGTCCGTTGGGGTGGAACCTCACAGCCTGCACCACTGCCCCACTGGGCTGATGCTGGTTGGCATCCCGTAACCGGGTGGTCTCCAGCTGCCCGGCAGGCAGCGCGCCCATACCCGAACCAGCGCGCTCTGTCAAACCGCCCGCGCAGCCCAGCAGCGTCGCTCCCTCCGCTCCTTCATCCTCAACATCCGTGTCGCGCCCCACCCGAGCCTCTGCCACGCCCTGCCGCTTGCGCGCCCAGCTGGTCCGCGGGTTGAGCGCCTCGTGCTGCCGCCGAAGAGCCGCCTCGTACTCAGCACCTGGGTGGGGCAGGAGGGAGGCAGGGAGGAGAAGCAGGGAGGACAGACGAGGGCGGGGAAAGTGGGTGGGAAATCGGAATAGGCATAGGAATGTAGACGTTCGAAGGAAAGGAGTAAGCCAGGGCGAATAACATGCAGGACTCCTTGGGTACAAGGATTCCATTCCGTACCAAGGAGTGCTGTGGGCAACCTGACGCGGGAGGTTCCCGACTTAGCCTTGGCCTTCACCATGCCTCTTCGATGCCCAAGGCCCCTCTATGCTGGTGTCGGTCTGCATTCACGTTCTCACCTCCCATGGTTGTTTGCTTGTCGCTGGCTCTCAGCTTGCGCAGTCGGGCCTGTTTCGCCACGTCAACCCGCACCTCCGCATCGTGGGGGTCCTGCCACACGGGCACCCGGGGGCCACCTTGTGGCGCCTCCCGCCCCTCTTGCCGCTGCTGCTGTCGCCCCGCCGTCCCAGCGCCCGCCGAGCTGCACACAGTGGCCGTAGGTGCACCCTTGTCCGCAGCCGCCTCCTCGTCCCCGTCATCCAGCCCCACCTCACTGCTGCTTAACGCGCCGCCATCGGCCTGCGCAATGTGAACAGCAGCAGCGTGACATAGAGCGAGCAGTGCTCAACGCTGACTTGCCCTGCCGCCTGCAATCCTACAAGCCAAGCCCACAGCGGCCTATGTCAATCCTAGGCAGGCAAACCCAGATGCTGCAAACCAGTGTGCCGTCCCTCGCTCCGCATACTTGCCTACCTGCTTTTCCGCAGAGCTGCCCTCGCTGTCGCTACCGCCATCCCTCCGCCCCTTGGTATCCTCCACATCTGCCTCATCTTCGTCACTACTTATGTCTGCAGCCCCACTCTTGTCCTCAAAGAATACATCCGCGTTATGGATCAGACCCTCGCCACGCCCAGCCTGCAACCCAGCAGGGAAGCAAGGCACCCAGCCACCCAGGTAAAGAGGATGGAAGGAGAGCAGCGGGAAAAAGCACCCGGTTGTGCCCGTTACCCGGTGGTAGCCAGTCTGTGTCCGCTCCGCGCACGCTGCTAACCCCCGGGCTTCAAGCAGCAATATAAAGTAAATGGCGACCTTTGCCAGACTTACCTCCTTAACAAGTTCTGCAACGCTGTCCTTGTCATCCTTCTCCGTACGGTTTAATATGCTTAACGGGTCGCTGCGAACACCGAAGAGGAATTCTTCCAGCTCTTCGGCCTGCGTTTAGGGAAAGGGTGGACGGCGGCGGAGATTCAGAAGCTTGACAAAAGCGGCGCATGCTACAATGCCCAAATGTACGTGGCTTGCCTTGCGCGCCGCATCCTCCTTGTAAACCATCCGCTGCTTTTTGGCCTTCCTCATCGAAGACATGAAACAAGCTTACAGGATCAGTTACAGCCTTCAACTTTGCTTCCTCTATTTCGATTAAGCAGGACTACCTGTGTTTCTATGGGCCTAGGCTTGGTTTCGGACCCAATCCTAAGGCAACCTAAGGGATGCTCGTCCAATGCTCGTCCTTCTTAGCTAAATTGCTGCTAATGTGCTAAGCCGCTTAGCAACTTAGCAGCGCCGTAGCACCGGCGTAGGCTGGAGCGAGTGGAGCGAGTGGAGCCAGAGGGCCGTACTCATTGAGCCTGCAGACATACGCATACAAACAAACAGTAGGGGATGCTAAGTAAGTTGATGAGGCTGCTTTAGCAGGCATAGTTCGAACCTTGTTTGTATTAAATTGCCCAAGCTAGCAAAAGCAACTGCTCACCGAACGAGGCAACGAGTGCGAGACCCGTCCTGCAAACAAGTTGTGTTAAGGATGCCCTGATACATATTGGCATTTTGCAAAGTGTTACGGCTGGAACCTGTTTGGCATACCGGTAGTTGGGGGCGATCAGAGCCTGTATGCTCGCATCTGCTTGGAGAATCCTCCATCAATAGCAATCATGTCGTGTGGGGCAAGGGCATAGCAGCAAAGCGGGTGGACGAGCAGGAGCCCCACATGTGTTGGAAACTACAACGAGAAATGTGGCCCTTCCATGCATAGAGGCTTCAGTTAATCGAGAGCAAGCACCGTGCTTTCCCGTCATACGCCATGCATGGCGCGCTTTGCGTGTTGCGTTACGGTTGTCTTACTGAGTGGAGCCCCCAGTTAGCCAGCCCACTACCAACCCCTGCAACAGAGCCGGTCCAGGGGCACCTAACCGATGGTTATCTTCCGCCACACCCCTAGTGCGGTCCTAACAAGCAATATGTGTCCTGCGCTCTCTTGTCAGGGTGGGCTGCAGCCTAAACGTCACGTTGCATTGTAAGGTCCCACGGGCCCCCGGTGACCGTAAATCCCCCCATAACGAAGTGGAGGGGAGGATTGGAGGACAGATCGCTTCTAAGCTTCGTCTGTCTGCAGCTGTCTGTGACCAAAAATCCCCCCCGTAACGAAGTGACTGGGAGGATTGGAGGACAGATCGCTTCTAAGCTTCGTCTGTCTGTCTCTCCATCCGACCCGGGTAGATACCTTTTGGCAAAATGACGGACTCGGCGTGCTGCCCGCCATCTTCAGGACGGTGTCCTGGGGTGGGATATCGTGCGGCAACACGGTACGGCACGGGTTACGATACGCACTCCCACCCAGGTTTATAACTCAGGTTAGTCATCGCGGGCGTTGTGTGTTAGCACGCGCATGAAACCTCAAGAGGTCGAAGCTTTTGCTGCAAACAGCGCGGAGCTCAAGGCCCAAGTCTCGGCTGCTAGGATTCAGGCTCTGGAGAACCGCATTTATGGGCTTATCCACCGGAACAACCGTACCCCTCCTCCCGTGGTCGCCCGCCTGCTGTCTGAGCGTGATGCAGCTAATTCTCCTGATAATCTTCGCTCCCTGGTCCCGAAGCCCCTTGAACAGCGAGGTTGCGTTTACGTTCTGGACTTCGGCGCCTGAGTTGGGAGTCTACGTGGGACAGACCAAGAAGCAGCTTCAGACGCAGCTTTGCCAGCATGTTTCGCAAGCCGTCCAGGAAGCGACCAACGGTATCCATGGCTCCCGCTTCCATCGCCACATCTGGGGTCGCGGTACTAACGACCTGGTTATATTCCCTATGGAGCGTGTTCCGGTGTCCCATACAGCAGCTTCATTCAGCGACATCGCCAAATCCCGGGAGATGGTTTGACTCATGTGACTAGGCAGCCTCCCGCCGCTTCACCAATCCGGGCTAAACCAGCGGTTTGAGGTCTCCTGCTGTACGGCTGACCCCGGGGCTTTTGATCTTCCTCCGCCGCTCCCTCTTGATATGTCGCGGGCTCATCGTCGCCGGGTCTATGCCTATCGCGATGCACTCTGTCGCCTACGTCACTTGCAAAGCCGGTATGATCCCCTGGGCAGCATTCCAGCCGCCGAGCTTAGCTCCTACGCGCCTCGCAACCTCCATGCCATGCACGCCCACCTCACCTCCTACACCCCTACCGCCTACCTGGAGCTGTCCAAGGCGTTCGCTGACTACATCCTTCGGGAGCTATGTAAGCGGCTGGAGGCCAAGGCCGCTGCTACTGAGCATCGCCGTCCTGACCTCAATACTCGCCTCTGGCTTCCAGACGCGCTGCGTCAATGGATTCCTCCGCCTGACCTCTACCGCCTTCTTCGCCATCCTCCCTGGTCGCCTCTGTTCCCCAAGACATCGCCATCGCACCTCCAATTCACTGGACGAAGGGGCCTTCCATGTACACCCGTTCTGCAACACCGCCGACTTCGCCCGCAACCTTACAGCCGCTAGCTACGCCGCCCTGCAAGCCCAGCCGTGTGCCTGCAGCCAGCATCCTGACATGTGCCCTCAAGGCAGCGCGCATGTTATGTCTACTTCTCCATCGGCTGCCGTCCTCAGCCCTCGCCTCCGTGTTTTCTGGAATGCCGGCGCCCGCTGCCGCCCTCATCTCCCACCGCCACCTTACAGCCGTGTCATGTACGCAGTACGCAGCCACGCTTCCTGGTATGCCCGAGCTCGCGAGAGGGCCTTCGGTTTGGGTACCGGAACCCTGGACGCGTGGATTGATGCCTTCCTCGCCCTTCTGGACCAGCGCCTCGGGCCTCCCTCCCTCCCTCCCCCCTTCCCCTGGCCGATCTTCTCCGCCTCAGATCAGCGTGAGCTTGACCAACTCCGAGCCCAGTGAATCCTCGGCGTCACCGACAAGAGCAGCTCTACCTTCCAGTTCCTCTGTCCCAAATTCTACGCGTTAAAGCTATACATGGACATTACGTCCAATCCGCGGTACTACCTTCCGTGTACTCCAGCGGCAGGGATGCTGCTTATGCTGCGGCAAATGATGCCCTCTCGCACCTCTCCCTGGCCTACGATGCGACTACCAAGCCTACAGCTTACTACTCGGGCACGGTCAAAATGCTTAAGCAGCCTCCGCAGATGCGGTACCTCAGCTGCTCCCACAACTGCCCCTCTACCGCACTGGCCCAGCTGTCCGTCCCCATCTTCGCCACCCTCGCGAAATCGTTCGCAGCGCTCTGGGGGAAGGAGCTCCCTAGCCAGTTCGCCCCCTGGCTTACGCTTAACTCCAAGGCCGTCGTCTCCATGGTTCACTCCTATAACGCCCATCAGTACCAGGCCGCCGACCCGCAGTTCCAGCTCCCTCAGATGCACACGACTTCACCCGCCTCTACACGAACATCGAGCATGGTGACCTGCAACAGGTCCTTGCTGAGCTCACGGGCGCGTGTTTTTAAACACGAGGGGGCTCGCAGTCTCCGTGTTGTCACCATCCCCGCCCCACCCGGTCGCGAGGACCAGACGCCCGACCATACGGTGACTTGGTCGCAGTCTCTCGTCCCTGGTACGCGTACCGTCGTGGATACTGACAAGGTCACTCGCTACTTCACCCTGGCCGACCTCAACACCTTCATTGCCACTCTCCTCACTACCGCCTTTGTCAGCTTCGGCCCGTTGCTCGTCCTCCAGATCTGCGGCATTCCTATGGGCATTCCTCCAGCGCCATACATCGCTAATTTGTTCCTGGGCTGGTACGAGTACAAGTTCCTGCAGCAATATAAGGAGCTTTCTGTCCTGGCTGGCGCGCCTCCCCCGGCACCCCTGCCGCTCCCTGCGCCTGGTGGGATTCCAGCGGCGGCAGCGGCTGTGGCGCCGCTCACCCCGGCAGCACGTCTCACGGCTGCCCTCGCTACTGCCACTCAGCTCTCCATCATCCCGCCCGCTCCCGCCCTCCCCGCTCCCGCCCCAACAGCCCTGGCCCGCCGGCACCTCTCCCGGTTCAAGTTCACGTCTCGGTTCCTGAGTGACTTGCTCTCCATGAATAACCCCTACCTCGTGCGCTACCTCAGCTACGACTATGTTGACGCTCAGACTGGACTCCGCGGCCTCTACCCCGCCTCCCTGGACATCCCCGCTCAGCACCACCCTCATCTCCCACCTACCCAGTTTCCATTTCTGGATATCCTGCTGGTACATGCCCCCGTCACCGTGGCTAACCGCACCTACAGCTGCTTCACCATGCAGCCGCCAGCCGGCTTTCACCCACGTCAGACTCTCCCGCTTCGTTCCCGCCTTCTCTAACGTGAACGAGCAAGCTAAGCGGAACATTTTCACCAGTCATTATCAGCGGCTACGGTCCGTCATCCTCGACGTTCGTGAGTTTATATAATAATTTACCAGGTCGCCGTCCTCTTGTGCGAGCTCCTTTGGCAGCACTACCCTGTTCCGTGCCTGCTACGGATCTGTGACGAACTGTGCGTCCTCCACCCCACCGCCTACTGGCTGGACCGCCGGGGCCCCGGGCCTACCCTACAGCATCGCATTCGCTCTTGGCTTGCGGTTCTTCCCCCTACCTAAGCTGGTCCGAGGCCTCCGGGTCTACCTGTCTATGTGTCTACCTGTCAACGTGTCTACCCGTCTACGTGTCTACCTGTCTACCTGTCTACCTGTCTATGTGTAGGGTTGCAAGGACCTTAAAATGTTAGAAATAATATTAGAATTTAGGACAGGCCGATTAGAACACATTAGAATATCCTAATGCCTTCCGCTTAATTCTATTAGACCTTTCTGCCTTTGGGGTGGAAATGTCGACATCGAACGCTGGAAGCAACGGCCTCACAACCAGAAATCTCGTGCCGAAGCCTGCGAACAACAGATACATTGCATGATTAAGGCGTTTGACGGTCCTTGTAGCGTATCGTGCTGGCGGCAGGCATGGCCAATGGACATCCATTGACATCCATCCTCTGCGTTGACCGTCACCCGGCCCTACGAAAAGCATAGCCTACAGCGAGGAAACGGTCTTGTAGCTGTCCCTGTGGAGCCTGACATGATTTCGCGCGTCAGTGGCTTGCCATGCGAACTGTCGGTGCCTGGGTTTGGCTGGTAGCTCCCTGAAGTACTCATCCATCCTCCGCAACAATTGCTGGAAACGCCTGGATTAGTATGAGCCGTTCCGTAGGAGAAACTCCCATGATGAAATACCCCCCCCCCCCAGTAGAATGTTA